CTAGGAAACATATTTTAAGATATACATAATCGTTCTTAAAGCTTCTTCTTGATTTAGGTACAAAATAATTTATCAAACTCCCATAACAATATGATTTTGCCTTTCATTAATATTGTTCTATTGGAGCAACATATGGAGTACAAATATTTTGCTTTTTTATGAATCTAGCAAAAGAATCAAAAATATAATCGGATATATCATAACTACTATAAAATTTATCACCTTTGTTAGATATGATATTTTTAACTTTTCTATATAATTATTAATTTTATTTATATATACTTAAAGATGTCAACAACTTGATATATTATATAGTCATATATTAATAGGTAATCTATAAATGTAACAAAATATCTCTCTCCACTAAAATATGAAACATAAATTGACTCACAAATGTAAGCATATATAATCTCTTCATGAAATTATGTTTCATTTTAATATTTGATTATATGATCATTGCAAACTTAAGATTCATATTAAATATGTACAAACCATTATACAAATAATATCCAAATGTTAATTGTTAGGAAATAATATCCTAACAATTCTAGATTATAGATATAAAATTCTAAAATTATAGGAACATATCATGTATTCTTGAGATCCATCAAATGAATAGTCTCTAAGTATGCGATAAGTACTAATTATTATTACTTTTACTTAAGATGATTCATTATAACGATGAATATTTCATTCTTTTTTATTTGCATGATACATTAAATTTTTATTATTGGTAATATACGTTAAACGTTAGAATCAATCCATCTAATATTAGAAAAGGATATTTATAATATTTGATTTGAAACATACAAAAGTCAAAGTTATACTTTTTCCTTTCAAACAAAACCTCATACTTCTTCTTAATATTTTTTTCTTATGAGTTTATATGGTATTTATAAACTGAAGTGATTTAGGCTTCAACTTTCTTTTATTATTACTTATTCATTTCCTCGAGTACTATTCAAAATATAATTAATCTTTCATATTTTAATCTTAATTCTTTTCAAATACATATATTAATAGGCTCATTTAAATTTTGCTTATCCTTTTATTATAATAAATTTTAAATAAGCCAAACTAAGAAAAAATAAAATTAAGAATAAATTATACATGCAATAATTCAACTATATTCGTGCTCAACGTTTTTGAGTTGAGGATACAATATTGAATTCCTTAAATATTATCATATTAAATTTTAATTAATTTTTTATTAATATGTCAGTCAATAACTTATCAATAAATTTAAATTGATCTTTAAATATTTTTAATGTGTTACTTATAGACTATAATAAAGTCTAAATATTATTAATAATTATCATAAAACTGAGTCATTTAAATCTTTTTCGATCATTTATCTTAATTACTTTTTCATAGAACTTTTAGTAATTAAGTTTATGATCCTTTCAACTAATTTGATCAAGGTCTAACATACCAAAACTAGGAAGTATCACTATAGTGAAATAACATGATATTAATTTAAAAAATATAGTAATATTGATCAAAAAAATAATAAAAGAAGTATCACTATAGTAAAATAATATGATATTAATGCTTTGAGTTTTTAATAAATATTGAACTATTGATATTATCTATATTTCACATTTGGATGAAATATTGACATATCTAGTATTTATATTAAATTATTTATGAATGACTAATATCATCCATATGGAATATTATTGTTACTTTTGAGTGTATAACCTTAAGCTATAAGGATATCTAAAACAGTATCATCATACTTCATCATATAATTATTAAAATTAAATTTTTTTACCTAAATCTCATAATTATATATGTCATTCTTAATATTATTTTCTTGAATATCATTTGAGATTAGTTTTTAATATAATTTTATAAGTTATTGATCTAAGATACTTCGATTGCTACAAAACCAATATAATAATATAAAATATAGTTTAAAATATTTTATAAATAATAAAATATTTATTATAATTTATATCTCACAAACCTATCATCTCATGTCACTTTGACAACTACCATTTAGATAGAACTTAGGGATATGAGTTACAAATAATATTCATCAAGTTTCTTTAATTTAATTTATATTAAAATAATTTAATAATAATTATAATTATAATAATTATTAGACATTAATCAACATAAATAAAAACTTATATAATAACTATAATCATGACGAAACATAAATCATGATTTTATATAAAAAATAAATATTATTTCATAATTTCAAATATATACATGTGAATAACCAAACAAATATTTATGAACAATAATTAAATTTTGAATTATCACATGTAAAATTTTATCAATATGACATATGAAATAATTATAAAAGAAAATTATAATTTATATTTTTTTTAAATTTCGCATGGAACCCTTATATCAACCAACCATATTTAATTAGATAGACCCAATATTGGGTTACCCAAATTGGGCTCATAGATTTGGGTCCACCGTTCACTCAATTAAATCTATCAAAATTAAAATTGATCAAAATTTGATTTTTCTCGAATTCGATCAAAACTTGATTGATTGTATATAAATTCAGTCAAGCAATCAAAATGCAATAATAATCAAATTCGATCAAAATATTTGATTAAGATAAATTAATTAATTTTATAATTAAGAACATAAGTCAAAAATTTCAATTCTAAAGGGTAAAGCTATAATTTTTACTTAGTATATATAAAGGGAAATTTCTAATTTCTAAAGGGTAAAATTGTTAAAAGGATATAAATTAAAATTAAATAAATTTACAAGGGTAAAACTATAAATTTATAAAGAAACCTTAATGCTAGCCACCCTCGCAGTTGCTGCCACTCGCGATGGGGTGGTTGTCCTCATACGGTCAATTGGTAACCTCGCTAGTTGTTACACCCTGTTGCCACGTTCCTCATCGGTGGAACGTCTTCGCAGTGCTTCGCTAATCGAGCATTGTCGATCGTGTGATTGTGCACATGCACTGATAGGCGATCTCCATGGTCGCCGCAATGTGTGACTATGCATGTGCATCCTATTGTGCAACTGTTGGGAATTGCTACCTTCGATGTACAGTTGATGTCGATCGCGGCTAACAAACACTGTCGCGACAGTGCTACTGCAGCCATTACATGTAATGACATTATGTAGCTGCCATAACTACCACAAGCAACAATGCTGCATAGCCATCACAATCGCCACAAGCAATAACTACCTCATGACGCTTCCACTGGGTATGTAGCCATTGCCTACATTTGGGCTAGTTCCCATGAGAGGCCATTACCTTCAACAATACTATCATCGACAGCAAGCTATCGATAATGGTCTATCATTCAAGTATAAGGAACCTCACAACGCCAGCAAGTAGGCAATATGATATATTAGATATAAAAATAAATCCACAATACAGACGAATTGTTCAAATATTGTAAATCAAAACTGAATAACACCTCTTTACGAGCGAAAGGTGCTAACAAATAGATCTAAAGTATTTGATTTTACAAGCATGTCTCTAATACCAATTATAAGCATAAAAGCCATTATTGTGCTATTGTTATATGAAAAATTTTATTGCTAAAATATGAAATCAGATAATAATAGATTAAATTTATGATACGTACTTTTGATGTAATTCAGAAAGCATTTATCTAATATGTGAGTGCACCGTCATCAGATCCGAAAGCTATAGTGATGTCGATTTGTAAGGAGAACAAGACATATCTTCTCCTCTCTTTTTATCCTTCATAGGATCACTATGAATGATGAATTAGAGACTAAGGCGAAAAGAGAGAAGATATGTAATCTCTCAATGATTGATTCATGTGACCAAAGGGAGATGAGAGAAGATCTACAATATTTCAATAATATCACATATCAACGTATCAACATAATTTGTGTATAGTCTCTAGAAGGTCTTGTCTATTTATATGTGAGAATAAATAATATAAAATAAGTAATTAGGAGAGTCCCTTCCATCAAGGTCATCTTCTAAAATTTTTTACTATAATTAGACTTTCTTTCTATTGACCAATAATCGTAATCAGAATCTAATCATATCCATAATATATCTAATCTAACTACATAAGGTCATAAAATCTAACACATGCTACCTATGCTACCCTCTCTAATGGGGTCATACTTCAATTAGCTAGGGAGGAGGTTCGTCATAGAAAGTAATAATACAATGAAATTCATAGGGAAGGATGAGGGTCATAGGAAGTAATAATACAATGAAATTCATAGGGAAGGATGAGGGTAAAGGCACGCTCGAAGGCCTAAACGACCCTCAGAAGGAAATAACAGAAAAAGGGCAAACATAATAGGACAGAAGTGAGAGTCTCGTTGAAAGCAAAAGACGACCATGACAAGATCAAGAGTAATTTTTTTTTAAATAAAAAATATTCTATAAGAATAAAATAAAAATAAAATACTCTACATGAAATTTAATTTGTTTTTTTTTTTAAATTTGCCCATATAAATTCGTAATGAAGGTAGAAATGCTTTTGAGTTAGAGCGCTAACTTCGCATGCGATCGCAACAAAAACAATTGTCAGCAGCTCTGAACCGACCCATGGGGAGTTATGAAGGAGATTATTATACCTTTGACTCGACGACTTCTTAAAAGTCAGCACAAATCGCCAATATCTGCCCAACCATTTCCAAAAGCTGCGACCGCAAGAACTTTCAACCTCAACAAGTGATCATGGCCATGTTACTTCCAGCGTGGAAGAAGGCGCTTTCCCTCGGAAATGGGTCTATCTGCCTGATATTTCACTTCGTCGCTGATGGTTTCCCGTCCAAGTTGCAAATATAATATCAGGAACACGAAGCCGAAGACCCCATCGAAACCCCCGTCCCACGTTGTCCGGCATTAGGTAATGCCTGCCTGCCTTCCCATCCGTTGAGTTCCCACTTCTGTTCTCATAATGCTTCTCAACCTAAGAGTGATAAGATGGCAAGTCAAACAAAGCCACAAGTGGCGGGATACCTGAATTATCCAAGTAGATCTTGAAAAGTCAGCATCCCAGTCTTTATAAGGATGTAACTGAGGATTTGAGTTCCATCGCCACAAAGTTGACGCAGAGAAGATGACGAGCAACAGCACAGCATGCAAAATCCTGTTGCTCTTGGTGGTGGTGGTGATTACTGGCGAAGAACTTGGAGTCTTGGCCAAGGGTAGTCTGACATGCAAAAACCGGTGGAGTCCGTGCTTTCGCAGGCAGATTGTATGTCCGAAACAATGCCCGGACGTGAAGCCATCAGATCCGAACGCCAAAGCCTGCTTCTTGGACTGCTACTCCCCCAAATGTGAAGCTACCTGTCGAGGTGACGACACCGTGCCACAATAACACCATTTCTTCCACCAGACTAACCCTTTAGTCTCGGCTTTTACTGCAGGTCGAAAGCCCAAATGCAACGGCGTAGGATCCGGCTGCTACGACCCCCGTTTCATTGGTGGCGACGGTGTTGTCTTCTACTTCCATGGAAAGAAGAATGAGCACTTCAGCTTGATCTCCGATCGAAACGTCCAAATCAACGCCCGCTTCATCGGCCTCCGACCCGAGGGAAGAACCCGTGACTTCACATGGATACAAGCCCTCGGTATCATGCACGACTCCCATGCTCTCACCGTCGAGGCAACCAAAACCGCCCGATGGACCGATGCCGTCGACCATCTTCGTTTCACGTACGATGGTAAGCCACTGGAGATCGCACAAGGCCATCTTTCCTCATGGAAGTCGTCCGAAGACAAGGTGGTGGTGGAGAGAACCGGAAGCAGGAACAGCGTTACCATTACAGTCGATGCAGTGGCGGAGGTATCTCTAAGCGTGGTTCCGGTCACCAAGGAGGACGACGAGATCCACAAGTATCAGATCCCATCCGACGACTGCTTTGCGCACTTGGAGGTTCAATTCAGATTCTTTGGTCTCTCTCCCGAGGTGGAAGGAGTTCTTGGACGAACCTACCGCCCAGACTTCAAGAACACAGCGAAATGGGGCGTGGCGATGCCGGTGGTCGGCGGAGAAGACGAATACAGGACTTCATCACTTGTTTCTCCAGATTGCAACCGGTGTCTTTTTTCTCCGGAGGCAGATAACTAAGCGGTGGCTCACTGTTACTCACAGTTGCAGGATTCGGTTACGGCCATGTCCAATTTATGATGCACGCAATGTGTTTGTCACGAGGTCACTGATGAGACTTCATAAAAATGGTGGTGTTTAATCGATTGCAGTAAGATTAGAGGCGAATAACGAAGAATCTCACAAATATATGGCCCCGTGCATTTTACCTTATTCTCGTGCATTCTCTGTCACTTGAACCACAGCTAAACATAATCATAATTTTAATGCTTCTGCTAATGTGTCACTGAGCAAACTGTAAATTTTGATTGTTAAACTTAAATATCAAATCATGTTCTTGACAAAACATTCTATTACATGAGCAAAAAACAATAACTCAATGCAATCTTTGTGCATACATTATCAAGAAATTAAGTTGTCATATTCTTCCATGCAATCTTAACAGCAAAACCTACCTTCTTGAGAGCAGAAAATTCTGATAGGAGCGTTGCTTTTCAGGACAACTAATGTGTAATCAATTCTGTCATCTTTTCGCCCACATATTCTATCACCAATTTAAGAATAAAAATGGATGTATGGCAAAGAAAAATAACTGAAGAAAAAAGACAGCCAATGAAGCCGGACCATCTGAACAACTAGAGGATATGGATTATAAGCACACTAGAACAGATCCACATAAGAAACAACTCAAATTCTCATTGAAACAAATATAAAGAAACTAAAACAGAGCATTCTTTTACCTGTTGGGCAATTAACTACCCCTACCGTAAGAATGATAACCTCCTCTATGATGAGGCTTTTTACCACGAAAAGATGTCCTCCCTCGACCAAGATTCCTAGGAGGACGTTGCGTTCTTGGTGCATTAGCTAGTGGCGGCCGCCCAAAGTTATGCTCATTGCTAGAAATTGGGGCACCCTGTATTTGCATATTTCCAGATGTTTCTTGTCCCAAATCACCACTCCACATTGACCCAGGAGGTGCTGCCATAGAAGGCCTCATTAGCCCACCAAGCCAAGGTATGTTAGCAGGGGCTTGAATACTAGGAACGAACTGCTGTTGAAATGGCATTCCAGTTGGGAAACTATTAAAGAACTGGTTTTGATGCAGCTGATTGTAAGCTTGATTCACCAGCTGCTGGCCTGGAAGCATATTAACTGGAAATCCTCCTTGTAAGCCTATATGTTGTTGCTGCTGATGTGGCAATCCATTTAGCCAAAGTGCATTAAGTTGCTGCTGCAACTGCTGTGGAAGAAGACCCAATGAGCTACTCATTTGTGCTGCCAGTGGAATCACTGGTATTGTGGAAGGAGAACTAACACATGTATTTCCAGCTCCAAAAGAACCATAGTCACTGCAACCAAGATTACCAGCTATTACAGGTGGCTGAACAGGACCTGCAACACTGGTCAAAGGTCGGTCCACAACATCTGGTACATGATCAAATGCAGGGGGGATATCCTTGTGTATACTAGCACCTCTGAATTTTCTTTTATTAACAAATGATTCTTGATTTCCTTTTCGCCTATCATTATTCTCCCTCTTTGACAGGCGAAGAGATTTCTTATACTCGGTTTCCTTCTCATCATCAGAGAATTCCACTTCTTCATTGAGCTCTTCGTCATTTTCACCTGATGCATCATATGCTTTCCTACAAAGCTCCTTATGGTTGATGATGCAAGTGGCAAACTCCACGACAAAAGATACAGCAGTACCCACACTGATCCCAGCAGGTACTTCCATGTCGGAATTATATCTCACAACATAGAAGGGATTTTTTACTGGTCCAAATATTTCATCAACAAAACCTAAAGGCAATCTCATTTCTGTTATCCAAAGAATGGAACCCTCATTCAGAGGGTTGTGCTTCTCTGAACCCTCAACAATAACTTTGTTATCCAACATCTGATAAAAGACATGAGCAAGGAAACTAATATTCAGTCATGCTAGGAATCATGATAGACAATGTTCTCTACAGTAGCTTACTGCATCAACAAGAGCACGTAAAACTAGAACTTAAATGACAGCTGGCAAATAATGTCATGATATACATAGCCAGAAGTTATCAGGTCATGAGTGGGAAACAAAAGCACAAAGCAGAAAATCTTCCATATTGCCGTTAAAAACATGGCATAAATTCTCGTGCTTGTTTTAGATCCAAGAAAAAGCCGCTACCAAGTTACTATTTCATGGACTTTAAGATTTTCTCTTGACAATGCTATCCATATTGCCTTTAAACGCATGACATAATTTCTCATGCTTGTATTAGAGCCAAGAAAACGCAGCTACCAAGTAGCTATTTCATGGACTTCAAGATTTTCTATTGACAATGCTATTTCATGGGCATTAAGGTTCTCTCCTGACAACAGGTCCGATTACATACCACAGAGAATCCTTCAGCAATTAACTGTTGATGAAAAGCTACATTTATAGATTAGATAAAATCACCAAACTTAGTGTTTCCCAGCAACTAAAAGTGTCAAGGTCATTAGACGCATTAAAAATGACTGGTTGTGCCAATATGCATTTAATATCTCAGATGTGATGTTTTGCCCTCTTACCGACAACCATATATAATCAATTAAAGAAAGGAATAGAAAAAATGAATAAAACATGTAGTTTTATGTTGGCAAAGAGTTTGTAGAGAAAAAAAAAAAGCAGGTAATGTAATTAGATAAGTAACTTACAGCTGAAATTACTCCAACAGGCAATGTCTGATGGTGTGGTTCCAAAAGAACTTCAATTTTAGGAACTGGTGGAAGATTCTGCAATCAGTATTTTAATTGGTCACAACACCATGTAAAAAAGTAGATGGATGACAAGCAAATGCACATAAATATAATAGTAGCATCAGCGGATGCATTGCCACAGATGAAATGTGTAGTAATTGAAAAACTGAGTCCACACAGAAGATTATCAGAAAGTTGGACAGAAACATATTATCTCAACCGTAAATTATGCTGTAAAGAGGCAAAATAGAATTACCAAAAGCAATTTGATACCAATTTGTAGAGAATTAAACCTTAAGACTTTAGTATAATCAATTAAAAGAAATTTATATGCTCTTAATTAACTAGAGATATCAACTTCCAGAAAGCTTAATGGCAGATACATATCCATGTGAGCAACCTCAAATGGTTAGAAAAATACAGCTTATTGTTGTTTTAGACACAATATTCAATAGGCAAAGGTGACTAGTATGTTAGTTATTGCAACCTGTAAAACACATTCATCGTCTGGATCCAAAATTTTCAAGATAAGTAAAATAATATTTAACTTTCATGAATATCACTATGACTAGAAAAGCAAGATAAAAAAGGAAGGTTAAACCTGTAGAACTTAAATCAACTAAGAACTATTTATGTTTGATAAATACACAATGTGGCTATACAAGTATATAAAAAAAAAACATGTTGACCATGGCAATGATTACTTCAGTGTAAACAATGATTTTACAGATAATCATCACAAAACCAACACATTGCAGAAAACATCACAGCAGAGATCTTCCAGCCACCAAATGTAATTTTGCATTAATTTTACATCATCAACTTTTTTCCAAAAAATAATCATCAGAAAACATGTTCTCAATTCAACTTATCCATCCAGCACTTTTGCCTACTCAATAGGTGACACTAAATGTTGGTATTATATATGAAAATGTGTTGTTAATTGAGTACAGTTACTCTGTACTTTTACGTAGAAAATGAATGCAAAGGTTTTTTAAATATGTTGTGTTATCAACAGAAGAATTATAAATGGCTGACTGAAATTCAGCAGCATCTTAGTTCACATTCTGAATTCAAAAAAATGCATAAAAGATTACCTCAACTTCATTTTTTGACTTGATGGGCCCTTTCACGACCTCTTCTTCCTCTTCACTTCCTATAAACATCTCCTCTCGATCAGTGTCCCTAATTTCACCCTCTTCAATCTCTCCCTCAGCATCCATGCCTCTTTCTCTGTTAGAATTACTGTCAGATTCATCGTCGTCGTCGTCGCCGTCATCTTCTTCTTCACTGCTTGAAGAAGAAGAAGAGTCACTTCTGTCTGTATCATCGTCCTCTGCTTCGGACCCATCCGATTCCGTTCCACTACTTTCTTCGTCCTTGACCAAACCACTAGCCGCATGAGCTTCATTGGCTCCATTGGCCTTCGTCAATGCGGTACATCCATTAGCTACATCCCTTTCTTTACTACCACCAGCACCAGAGCTCACCATGGCCACATTAGCTTCGCCTGCGTCAATTTTAGCCGTTGCCTCCGATGCCGCTCCTTCCAAGACCGTAACATTATTAGCGTTTCCATCAGAAGCTTCTACCAAGCTCACATTTTGCATCCTCTCATCGATCGAGGAGCACAAGATCTCTTCTTTTGCCCCAGGATAGGATCTTTTGGTTGCAAAATCATCAGTATCGAGAGGACCCGCGGATTCGACCTTGTTCGGGTCCAAGCCAGTGGGGTCGGGCACCTTGGCTTCGTCCCCCAACATGAAGAATTGGTCGGGATCGATGAGCCACTCCTTGACGGGGTCGAAGTCGGGGAGAAACGAATCAAGGTCGTCAAAGTTGAGAGGGGAAGGGGGCTCCTCCCGATGGCTAAGCGGAGGACTCCACGGCCTCACCATCGTGGGTCGGATTAGGACTTCGTTGGCCGGGTGGGGAAGCCGGGGAGGCGGCGGCGCCCATTTAACGGGAGAAGTGAGGAGTAGTGTTTTCGGCGGGGTTGAGATAGGAAGGGTTTCACCGGCTATTCCGTTCTCATTAGGGTTTAAGGGCGCCCACTGGGAAGAGTAGAAAAGGGTTTAAAGAGGCGTGGTTTTAGTAATATGGAGGAAAGAAAAGATTAAAAAAATCATAAATTAAACTCTGCTGTCAATAATTTTACCAAATAAATTAGTGACATTTTCATCAAATAAATTAGCTGATATTTTCATCTCTAAATTAGTTTTTATAAATGATAATTGGATTGGTTCATCAATATCCTTAAGTCAGAATAATTCCATTTTGATTCTGTGCCATTGATTTTACTATGATTATTGATATATTTTGATTCTCACAATAATTTGACATAAAAATAATAATAAAATAAAATTTTAATGTTTCAATCTAATCTAAGATAAGTGAATTAATTACACATGATCTTCTCAACTATTGTATTTCTATATAAATGATTAAAGGCAAACAATAAAAATCAAAGTTATAAGATGATTTGATATTAGACATGTTTATACGCTATTCTTTACAAAATGTTGCCTGATCCAGATATCCAATCTTCTTAGATAAGTCATTTAACTTAACAGCTGACACTAATGAAATAAAACAAAAAAAAAGATATATATGAACAATCAAATGTAGTGATACTATAAAATCTTTCCGGTAATTGTATTTTCACTTCCCAGATTTCAAACGGTGTTTCTTTCTCTCGTCAGCAATAAAAATAAAAGCCTTGACGAATTCTTCTTTCACCATGAAAAGAACGGAAGCAGCAAAAACACTCTGTACGATCTTTGTGCCCATGCCTTTATAAAAGCCACGCAGTCCTTCGTAACGGATCATCTTTAGTATTGCATCCCCAGTCCCTGTGATGGACAAAGACATTTCCTTGAATCAGTTCATTTCACAGCAGCCCAAAGCATTTAAATCCAAGAAACCAAGTAAAACGATATAATCTTCAGAGGGCGCAATCAATTTATAACCCACAACTCTTTGAAACTAAATCCATCTACGTTCTCTTCCAAAGATTTGATCACGGTTTAGTTTGAATTATAACCAACCCAAAATCGAATCAATTTGAAATCGAAATTGAATCAGAAGGTTCAATTCCGATCCTATGTTTAGAAAACTGAAACAGTTGGTTTCATAATTTTAAATTATTTTTATTATTTAAAAATAAATTATAATTTTTAATATTTTAAATTTTAATTAAAAATAATTAAAAAAAAGTGATAGTTCAAATCGGAATTGGAACCGTCGGTTTCGGTTCCAATTCCAAAACCAGCCCTTATCGGTTCGGTTTTAGTTTCTGATTTTGGAAAACCAAAACCTTCATGAGTAAAACAAATCATATAGAGATTGAATATTGAAAAAAACATATATCGATAAATCTTAAAAATATATTCAAATTTCTTTCTCACATAATTTTTTTCTCGATGTTTAATTAAAAATATTCATGAACTCAATCCGTATTGTGAAACTATTGTGGATGCTCTTTTTCATAACTGCTGGTGAGGTATAGACTAAGTTGCCAATCACATTTTTGTTGCACCATGTGGATACCAGTCAGCTGACAGTTCTAAGAGTGGTGTTGAGGAATTAGGCATATGAAGTTGTTTACATCAGCATGACATTAGTTAATAGCCCTCCCCTATAATAAATTACTTAATTGTTTATGTTAGCATTATAGAAATTTGTGATTGAACAATTGAAATTTAAGGAAAGAAAGTTAATCTATGCTTCAATGATGGATATTTGCATTAAATAAACTCTCGTGCTCTAATTCAGTCAAGCTTAATGCATATGAGGCAACGAGGAATAAAAGGTAGGAAGAAAACAAAGATACACCAAGTAGGTGGAATGAACAAACATGTTCCTGTTAAATTCTTTTGCAAGAAACAATGCACAAATTTCCATAAGCCTTTAGGAACAAGAAAGAATAGACCTAAGACCATATAATGGATGTTATTAAAAAGCATTTTTAGATCGATATCGCTTGTGTTGCAGTCACAAGAACCAACTAAGAAGAACAGTTGAAAACACTAAAAGAGGAATTAATTAAGACTCAGTTATGCAAGTAGAATCGAGGCATATAGTAATTTTCTGCACTCTCACCAGCTGGTGATTTAAATATATCGACACACTATCTCTTACGATCTTTGCGAGCCCAGTATGTGGTTTTGTCTGGTAATTACATGGTTAATAAGATAGAAACTTCACCTTTCTAGTCCAGATGTCTATTCATGATATGCACACCACTTTCAAATATCAACTAAATTCAACATGAAACAAGGACTGATGGTCAATGCAACAGGAAACTAATAATTTTTCCCACTAAAGAAAACGAAAGTTAAGAGACTAACCCCATGGAACTTGCCTATTGGTTTCAACAATTAAAGGTAGTACCTGTGTATCTTGACATTGCATTCCTGCCGATTTCTTGCTTCGCCTGTAACCTAGACTGCAACCATGGAAAGAAAAATGCATTGGTTGGAAGAAAAATCAAATGGAAAATTTAAGAGGCAAGAGTATTACTACAATCTGCAACCATTTCATATCTATATACAAAGACAGGTTGTCTCTAAAGACTGCTTGCTGACAATTAAATCACTGGAAGAAATGTAAGCTACTCAACTGAAGGGACCAAAGATGCCTCAAAACTTCATAACCTTGGAAAGAAAATATGAATGAAGAATCTGGCTTCTTTTATCTCACTTCTCAAAAGAATTTAAATTTTTAACATGACAATTCAAAAGGCACCAAATCAAGAAGATCTAATCAACTTTTCTTGGAGAAAGCCACAGAAGAAAACCATTTGTTAGACAAAATTTAAATAAAAAATTCCAGTAACAACAGAGGGGTGTAAAAGTGCAATTTCTATCCAATTATAATATTACTTTTATGTTTTTTAGAGATACCTAAGGTTCATCACACAAGGATTTATCATCTATCACCAATAACAGGAACCTGTTTATTACAGTGTTGCTGGATCCCATACAAGGTGGGATCCGAATTTGTTTAGGGCCATCACTATTCAGATCATTAAATCATACAATCTGCCAGCTTTCTTTAGATAATTTTGTTGTTAATAAATGTTCTATATTGTCTTTCATACTTTATGTGGATTAATAGATAAGGTACCACATTACTCTCAGAAATCAAGAACAAAAAAGAGTTAAGTATACCTTTACAACTAATAAAGGATATGTTGCCAGAGTTGCCCCCAATTTTGCCAATGCCCCCAGCAAGAAAACCTGTGCATGCAAGGAGTCCAATAAGAAAGGTTAAATGTAAACAATCTTCATCAAATTTTGCCTCCTGTTCAATATTAATCTTGTGCTTGACGAGTTTAGCACAAGGATAACAACTAGAAAATCGAAATTCTTTATCAGCTAGATGTGCATCAAATAAATGTTGCTGAACCTCTAAAGCAGTAACATTTTTATCCCCATGCTTAGTTCCAGTACGCTTTGACCGCAGGTGCTTTAGTGAGGTTTCATAAATCATAAACTGGATTGATGGGTTGCATACCTGCAAGTATAATAAAGTCAATACATTTGGCTTCAAAGTTCGATGTTACAAAAGATGTTAGACAGTGTGGCCGGTCATCAAGTCTACTGACCATGATAAGGGTTGGAATGAGTCCTTTCCAGAATCCTTTTATGCCTGCCTCATGATAAACCTCCCTCACCTGTCAAAGAAATCCATCATCTTAGCCAAAGATGCATGGAATTCAAGTTCGGTGAACAACATCGACCTCAAGTATCATCAGGTACAACTGTGATGTAGCCATGGAAGTCCATATTCAACACTATTTCAAGACTAGATTGTCTACTATGTTGTACCTGGTACCAAGATAGTATCATTAGGTACTTAAGTTTTCTTTTCCATTTAATCAACATTTATCAATTTGGACAGTGTTAGAACTTGACAGTCTGTCGTATCATCCACATCAGGTCTAGCTTCAAGAGAAATGCATATACCACTATACCTCCGTAATCTACAAAGTACGCCAATGGTGGGTTCTGCGCATTGAGACAAAATCTGCTTTTTATCTACTCAATTGTAGATTTAATCTGGAATACTTCTAATTCATGTCATAGATATAGGTCAACTTCTAGCTAGACCAAAAAGAAAGCAAATTTCTGTAAATAATTGTTCCCTCAAACTTCTTTCCCGTATAATTATGTATAAAGAAACTGAGGGTTTACTAACCGCATGAAATGTTCCATATGGACGAGGTTTCATCAAATCAAGTTTAACTAGCTCGTGCTCCATATAGGTGGTACCTGCAAATTCCCTCAAAATAGCCTCCTTTCTAGCCTCCATGATTTTCCTCTCTGCTTGTGTATGTGTCTGAAATGATGTAAAGTTCCGACATGCATGTATTAATAGATGATAATGACAATAATGATATTTAGTAAAATGGAAAGTGGAGGAGATGACATGCTATATTTGCATTTAGATCGATATGCACATAAGTTATGTTCTAAACTATAGGTTGTAAACTTGGTTAGCAACCAGAGGAGCAAGAGAATAAGTAAACTTAGAAGTACATAAAAATATGGGTCCACGGTGATTGATGAGATAAAAGTGAATCCAGATTGTAAAATGGAAGATTCTACCTGATGCAGCTCCAGATTAATGCTAACCGGTCAGCTTGTGCCAAGAAGAAACCTTATCAAACAAATTTAGTCATCAAAATGAACAAGCCATAGCTTACGTGTCTTTACTTTACCCCACAAAACAACACATTCATCATAAAAATGTCTATTCTAGATTATAAGGTTAACAATATATCGTATATTTCAAAGTAGGCAGCGATTTGGTTTTTCTATCGAGTTGAAAGGCTACAGCAACTCAGTGCAGGAAGTAATAAGAACAAAAACCCATATTCTATGTCCTTGGAGAACTTTATGATGAAACCTCTGCACAGGTAAAATTAAACAGGTTTCCATCATTATTCTAATAAAAGTATGAAGCAAAGTGATAGAAACTTATATTCATTAAATTTGCTATCATGCATATTGCATAGGACACCAGCATCTCTCGTCGCTCTCTTCTTCACTTTACAAAAGGAAATCCCATCCGTGCATGCTTTAAAAAATAGTTTAATTGCATTTTATAAATAGTTTTGATTTTATGTGGACAGAGCGAAACTATGTCCAGTTAAATGAGATTATAGTTGAGAATCTTGAGATGATCTTTTACATCAAAATAGAAAACATTGATGAATACTGGTAATATGAACCATGCAATAGCTACTTGCTACATAAGGCTTGCAGTGACAAAAATCTAAGAATCTAATCAAGTTGGTATTACACATGCCTGCATACGAGTGACCAGAACCCATATTGGATTAGTTAGCAGCACATTCAAGGACCTGCAAAAATCAATAGAGAAAATAAATACTCCTTGAAAGCATTATCAATCTCTGTTCTGTAGCATGCTAAATTCATTAGATCTAACCATCAAACAGATAATGTCATGTAACCTCTGGAATCATTTACCGTATCACATCAGAGGATAGTAACATTACAAGGATGTGTGATAGGATACATGGAACCAAGAAGCACTAAACGAGAAGTTTGGAGCTTAGCTTCAACTTGCCAGCATATATACCTTGAATAAACTAATCTTTGTGCAACATCAAGGATATTTTCAGGACTGGCACAAGCCTATGTCATGTTGGAAATATTCATGATCACTCTTTGATTGCTAACATGTCAACACTCTACCAACTGGAGTTAAGGCTCTAGCAAAGGTGGTTTGGCCAAGAATGACCCTACCTAGACCCATAAGAAATAATTACAACCAACCTAATTTTTATCCATTTCAGCCGATGCAAGAAGTTAAAAGAGTAGAGTGCAAACCGAATACTGTAATATTAAGCTGATGCAAAGAAGTCCAGAATAATCAGATTTCCTCGGCTTGGAAAGTGGATAAAAAGCCAAATTCCATTCAGATGTGGTTGGTTGATATATGTCAACGAAGCCTTTGAAAGTTTGTAGGCAGACCTGGTAACCCAGATTGGTTAAACTAAAGAGAGGAGGAGCATCTGAGTTCTGTTCGAGCCCTTGTCTTCACATACCATTAGAAAACACATAGGTCCTAATTATGGCAAGCAGAATACCCACCCTGCAATAGCTGCGACGACAAGCCAAGAGAACATGCCAACAGTACCATCACCAAGCCCTTTCTTCTTGCGTGCAGCGGCCGCAGCCTCTGCCTCATTCTTAAGTACCTGATAGAAGTAATAATATATTCCCTGGATATGGCCACCATCGCATCATCTTCAGATAAAGTGGAACAAACTGGTAAAGTAGCAAATCAAGGTCGGACAATCGTGGATGGGGCAATCCACGAAATGATCGACCTCAGTTAAAATTGCGAGAGTGGAGAAAGTGTGAGGATGGGATGGAATCGTCGACCGGAAGTGGAGATGTGGATGTTGAGTGGGGAAGGCGAACCTGAGACGCGGCGGTGCCCACGAGAGATGGCTTCAGACCACTGTACAGCCCTCCCCAACCTTCCATTTTAAAGAGCTGCAATCCAATAGTCAAAAGGAAGGAAACGGAATCAGCGGAGGAAGAGTAGGTCCTGCGAGGTCAAGGTAGGAGGAGCGAGGAGACCTGAAGGATCTGGTAGATGGTTCCGCCAGCGGAAGATGGTGCCGCTTCTGAAGAAGAGAGGTCGCCTCCGCTCGCGGCCGCGGCCAGCGACGTCTTCTTGGCAATCCTCTCGGTCTGTTGACGAGTGTTCACCTGTAGGCATTAACAGGTGAAGAAGCGAGGGCGGGCGCGACAGTGGCAAGCCAACTCAGGGATGAAGCGGCAAACAGAGGGGATAGAGGGAGAGAGAGAGAGAGAGAGAGAGAGAGAGAGGCGCACGGTCTGTAGAGGATAGGTGATGATCTGAGCTATCATGCCTCCGCCGGCCCCGGCTAAGCCGTTTACCAAAGCGTTCGACATGCTTCGCGGCCTACAGTGGGCGGCTTAATTAGGAGTTTCACCGGCGCGCAGCTCCGCCACCAGGACGTGTCAGTCGAGCACCCGCGTCGTCGATACCCTCATCTGCAACTCGTCAAGGGGTCTGAGCAGAGTCAGTCCTCGGCACAGAAAGCAAAGAGTGAGAAGGTGATCGGCAGTGTTTTCTCGGTCCAGTCATTTTCACATCATTATGGATAACTTCATTCAGCCATAAACAAAATAGGCTAAAAATGGAAGCCCATATCATCATAGATTAAATTCCAATCGTAAATCTCGTCGGAATTGTTCTGATAGGAATTATTACCTTATCAATCCCATTCTTTTTCATTCAACCAATTAGCTCGAATCATAATCCGTGCACATATTGAGACTGCTCTAAGCCCATTGATCTTTTCATTTTCCGAGTTACTTTTTTTTTTTGGTGGTTAAGATTCATGAAAAATGTAAGGATCCGTACGCATGAAATTCTCAAAACCAACAATCTATAAAACATGGCTCGAACAGATAAAATAAAATTTTAAATCTTTTTTTAAAACGAATACCTTGGCCGACAATATTTGAGAGCTCACTAATCCAATGGTGGAGAAACAATCTTGCCACGTGAGAGGAAACTGTCCTCTAATAGATCTGAAATGTAGCACCGGGTGAACACACAATATATACTACCATTACAGAAGCAACACGTATCATTACCATTCTCTTTATCATGCTGTATCACTGAAAATAGTAAAAGTATCATGCTGGATCACTGAAAATAGCTCAAGTACGCATATACAAGAAAAAGAAAACTAGAATAAACTAGTAGAATATCCGATGAACCTTCTTCCTGTTCAACATAACAGGCAACCCTTGCCTTATTACCATGAATCGATATAGAGATCAACTGCAACAATATATGAACAACATCAATCCTTCACCATTTCGTCCAACTAATAAGAACTAAACTGAAACTACTTATGTTGCACAAACAAACTACACATGGCTATACCAACCTACCGGTTTACATGGAGTACCATATAAAGAAAAAAAAAATGAAACACAATTTCTATCCACAATTGATTCGTCATGTGCTATGGAAACTTCAAAGGTCATGTATCTTCTTGCCTGTGCCGATGGAAACAAATATAACACAATCACGAGCCTTAAGTACTGACTGGTTCTTAGTTGCAGTCTAATCCACACTCTTCCAGAAGAGGGCCATCTGATTTTGGTAGGAATGGATCGATCCGTACCCAAAGCAGAGAGAAAATTGATGCGAGAAGAATGGACCAGACAATGACAATGGTAGGTGTCCGGTTCTGCCGACCAACAAGACCTTTGAGGAAGGGATACAGGTGAACAATCACCCAGAAGGAGAAAAAGAGTTTGCCGAACAGAGGTCCCCATGATTCATATCCGTTGTTTATTGCATTGGATACACCGGCTACCACACCAATGAAGTTTACGATAAGCAGAGTTGTCGGAGGGATAAGCAAAGTGGTCCACTTGAATGTGTACAACTCAGAGAATTCTTCATCATCACCAGCCTTTGTTGTCACAGTGAAATTGGTGTCTATACCAGCAAGGACCTTTAAGAGCCCCTGAAACACAGCAAAGAGATGCGAGGAAACACCGCCAATAACCCAAAACTGCTCGTTTCTCCACCAGTCATCAATGGCAACACCACTCCATCTCATTTCCAGGATACTTGTTGCAAAGATACAAATGAAGAGTGACAGGAACCAAAGACTTGCTACATTGCTAAGCTGTAGGTTGAACATGGTATTAGCATCAAAAGGTTAAAAGAAAGGAATATCATTTGAAAGATGAAAATGCTATCGCACCTCAGGGGTGATGAATTTCCCAGTGAGCAAGCAAACAGCAGGCAAGGTACAGTAAGCCAAAAGAGGAATTGATGTCCAAGGATATATGGTAGCATTGATGTACGATAGCCGCTCCAACCATTTAAGACCACCTCCATATCCATACCAGAGAGGACAATGTTTGCTCAAGAAAATCTCCACAGACCCAAGAGCCCACCTAAGGACCTGGTGAAGACGATCTGATAGATTGAGAGGTGCAGAACCTTTGAATGCAGGCCTTGCTGGTATACAGTATATAGACCTCCACCCATGGCAGTGCATTTTGAAACCTGTCAATATATCTTCTGTCACTGAACCATAGATCCACCCAATCTGTAGCGAACAGATAGCAAGTTAGAAATACGTCTTTAGATACCAAAGAATATATATTTGGATACTGGAGCATACACATTTAGATACCACCGCGTAAAACCTAAAGAAATGAGACCAAAAGTTTACCTCTTTTCCCCAGTCAGTCTTATCTTCATAGCCACAACTAATAACATGGATCGCTTCCTTCAATAAAGAGGCAGGACTAGCTTCTTTTAATGTTCCACCATTCTCAAGGAGAGTAGATGCCACAAAAACAGGAGACTGCCCAAATTTCTTTTCTAACTTCTGCTGAGATGTCATATTTATCCTTTCAATCTCATTTCCTGTGAATGTGCTAACAGGTTAGCATGTTGAAATTCTCCAAAAACAATATAGAGATAGGAACACTTCTGATGTATTTTCAGACAGCTGTACAGTAAGACATTTTCTACGAATTAGGTTGCCTAAGGTAATAAGCAGAACAACTAAGGCCAAAACCTACACAAGATAAAGAAAAAGGCAATAAGAGCATTGTAATCTACCTCTGATATAACAAGAATTGCATCATTTAATAATTTTGCTATATGGATTAACCCTTTCTGTCCTATTTTATTATGTTTATTCTACAAGAAGACATTAAAGAATGAACATCCATGCTACACCAAATAATGACCAAGTGCTAACACAATAGAGAGCCTCCTATGATGCAGTGCATATAGACTCACTAGGGCCTATACTCTCAACTAATTGGAGATGACTAAATGGATATTTTCCCATCAATTAACACTACCAAAGCAAAACACCCTCTGATAAACAAATAGTTACTGTGTCCTTTCTTGCTGATTATGACCAAATGTCTACTATAAATCCAAGAAGAAAATCATAAATATGAGCAGGTTGTCAAACTATACAAGTGCTGCAATCATCTGATCAACATACATCATTCGGTAATGTAACGAAAAATATTGATTGATCAGTGGCAAGCATAGGCATACCTTTAATGCCCTCTTCAATACCCTCCAGTGCAAATACCGGTGCTCCAGTATCGCCTTTCCTGGAACCAATCTTATTCTTATCCTGTTTAGCTTTTGCTGCTTTCTTCTTTTTCCTGCTAGAACAACAGCATCCACAGCAGCACCAACTAGGCCAGCAATTGCAAGTCCTAGTTGGTGGCTTCTTGGATTTTGGAGCATCAAATCCATAGAGTGCCTGTCTTCTGAATACACATCCAGTGCCCACATAAATAGGCCCTTGAATCCCATCTAAACCTTTCATATTGATCTGCATCATGACTTATTTTACTTTTCTATGCATGTTGGGTATATGGACTTTCAAAGAAGAAACTGTGTGACAATATTGAAAACTAAAATTAATGAATATGCCCCAAACGCAACATGCTGATACTTACATCAAAAAACACTATGTTCCGATTAGCATAGCGATCATGTCGATCAATACCATCGAACCTCTGAGGGAATTGCACATAGCAAACTTTCTTTCCTACTTGTGGGTCCATCATGAAGCACATTGCCTCTCGTATTGCCTTACTATTGTTAAAGTAATGGTCACAATCCAAGTTCAACAGATAAGGTGCATTTGTAAGTACAGCAGAGACTCTAACCTGTCACAAAAGCAATAAAAACAAACAAGTAGGCCTCAAACTACTGTAACAACAATGGAAAAGATTAATCAAAAGGCAGTCGCTTACCAAAGCATTCATAGCACCAGCCTTTTTGTGATGATTAAAACCTGGCCTCTTTTCTCTAGAGACATAAACCAAACGTGGCAGTTTATTCCCTTCCACATCATGCCCACCACTTTGCCCCAAAAAGACCTAAGTTTTTATAATGTCAGAAAAAATATCAATTGAATTTCAAAAGGGAAGCTGGCTGTGTTACAACTGCAGTAAACAAAACTGAAAAAATATAACATTTACCTGAATCATGCCTGGATGGTCACGGACATTATTTCCAGGCCATGGAGTTCCATCCTGCATTGTCCACCCTTCTTCTGGGACTTTTTGTGCTTTTGCAACCAGGGCGTTTATTCGCACCTTGAATTCCTCATATTCTCTCTGCAAACAGAATCAAATTCAGTGAAACTATGACCTATATACATATTTTATCAATGAAAGATTAGTAAAACTTTTAATACCTTTATTGCTCTCCGTTCTTTAACAAATGAAGGATGGACCTTTTCCTTCAGATAATCTATCTTTTGCTGAAGATACCATTCTGGGGCACGGGGCTCGACATTGAATTTCTTACAAAAAGGAACCCATTTCTTTGCAAATTCAGATGTTTCTGATAATGCTTCAAATGTCAACATAGCAGCACCATCATCAGAAACATAGCAAGATACTTTTTCAACAGGGTAATCTACTGCAAGGATTGAGAGGACAGTGTTTGCAGTGACCAAAGGAGGTTCCTTCATTGGATCAACTGTACTCACAAATATATCAACTGGAGATAGTTGAGAAGGTTTCCCCTCCTTTTCATACCTAAGATAAACAAATAGGCAAATAGTTGAGTGATCAACTAATCATCCAAGTAACATGAACAAAAACGATAATATGACAATCTCAACTACCTTAATGACAATCTGTCAAGATATGTTTCCCTTTCAATCGGAAGCCACTTGGGAAACTGATCAAGAATCCATGAAATAGCAAACCAGATTTCGCAGATGACAGATATGAGCCACAGAGGATATGCATCAGATGCAGGGTTTGTGATTCGAAAATGAAAGAAGAACCCAACAACCACGAGACGAATTATGATGATCATCCTGTATGGGTTTATTTGGCTAGAAGGTACTGGCAACTTTCTCGACAATGGTTGTCTTGCTTCATCCATTCTACAGAAGAGAATAAAATATTACCACAAATTTAACAAATAAGTCAAATGTTTTTTTATATAAAAAGAAATTAAATATTAAAATACAACAATCATGATATACAAGGTGCCCTTTTAAATTAACCTTTGCCCACTCCAAAAATATCGCCATTGTCCCCATGTTAAATTGAAGCCAGTTAAACTTTGTAAATTCATCTTAAACATGATGGAACATCCCAAATGTATGCCTTTTGACTCCACTTGATACTTTAATTGATAAAGCCTTGTCGAAGATACATGATTTGCTAAAATTTAGTTGGCCTAACTTGTAAAAGCTATATACTTGTTATAACTCAGCCAGAAACAATCAAAACATTCCACACTTTTAGAATAACCATAACCAGTTGGAGTTGTTTAAAGAAATATGATTTTGCAAAAAATCATCTTGTAACTAGTTTTTATTCACAGCTTCCTCCTGTCACAATGGTCAGTTTTAATGTTGGAATAATTGGTCACTAAATGAGAGAAGACATATAGATTTCAGTTTAAATGGCACTGATACTATTGGTAAGTCTCAATTTTCACAGAAAGTGAATCAAAATTTAAAAAATTGTAGATGTGCACTATGAAAATATGAAACCAATAACTCACAAAACATGAATATTTTAAATTATAGAGAAGTACATTATGTACACTGTTCTGTCCTGAACTTAGAATAGAAACAAAAGGATGTGTGGGGCATAAAGTATATGTTATCTGTCAAACATAACTTATGGGGCCCTGCATTCTGGAAAGCTTTCAGTTCATGTAGTCATGGTACTATAGCTTACTGAATATGTATGTATGTATATATATATATATATATATATCAACAATTGCATTCGAAATACAATTTGATATTAACAAACCGAAAAAAAAAAAGAAATCAAGAATTAATTGCACAATATCAGACTTGGGCAATGGACTAGAACAAGATTTCTATAATGATGATGGATGCTTAACAAGTTACGGAGCTTACAATGGTAAATCTGATTCATCACCATCATTATTCCAATCTCTACCGCCACCATCACTCCTAGTCATATGCGTTTTCTCTTGCTTCTGCTTCCAATTCTCCATTCTCTCCTTCCAGGCCACACTTCCATATCCATAAGCAGCAAGATCCTTAGAAGGATCCATGGATCTAGGTTGCACTGCAAGGAAAGAGCTTTTTCATTAACCTTGTGGTGGACTAAAACAACTGATAGATCAACAATATGATCTCAACTTGTCATTTTACATGACTATTGCTAAAAAATAGGATAGGTAGAAGATCCTTGTATTAATAAAGAATTCCAGTACCTGGAAGACTGGGATCTGAAAATGGAAGTGGGTGAATTCTTTTTCCTCCCCCACCCACAAAAGAAGGGACGAGTGCATGCTGTTCTGGAGGAATGTCATCGACCTGGAATGGAAATAAGCCCATGCATCAGAAGCGAGATCTCAGAAAGGCATGTGGGAAAAATCACAAAAACATGAGACTCATCTAATTGGACGCGCCGGAAAAGAATTAGGTAAAAGGGTTTAATTGAGTGCAAAACATCGAGAGAGAGAGAGAGGCGTGAGTTCAAGTACCATCTCGCCATTGGTGAGAAGAGGGACTTGAGGCATTGTATGAACAACATAAGGCGTGTTCAAGTCACCACGCCGGCCATAGCTCATGTGGCCCTGCAGCATGGCCTCGGCCATGTACTGCGAGTCCTGCTTCTCTCCCGGGACGAAGTTGAACTCGTTCTCGAGATCATCGACGTCATCCTCTTCGTCGTCGCCAGCCACACGAGGGCACCCTGCAGAAAGAGGAAGACGAAATGCAACAATCTGACACGAGAAGGATCAAAGAATGGAGAGATCCACTGCAATCGATGCGGTTCCGTAGTTATACCCTTGAGCCGTTTGAACCGGGTCTTGCACTGGGGGCAAACCTGGTTTCCCTCTCGCCGCTCGTACTCATAGCAAGTCCTGCAAACGGGGAAGGCGCATTCATTGCAAGCCACAAAGAGATCCCCGTCGACGGTGAGGCCGACGTCGTCGCCGCAGATCTGGCAGATTTGGCCGCTCAGCTGCTGCAATGGCTTCGGCTGTGGGCAGTATCAAGTCCAAACATCATCCTCCGGATTATCTGACGACAAGAAGAAAGAAAACAGAGGAAGAGGCACGTACCCCTGACTCTCCGTCGCGGCGGATGACCACAAGCTCATTCCGGTTGTGAGAACCGGCGACCAAACCAGCGCTCGCCTCCATTCACTGTTCGCTGGTGATGATCTTATCTAATTAGATCCAACGGTGGTCCAGTGCTGGTACGCCCAGCCCGACCGGACAACTCAACTATTTCCGCTCCTTTGGGGGCGGAACAATCACCCGAGCGATCCGACCTCCTCCCTTCTCTCCCCTCTCCCTACCTACTCAGGCCGTGAGAGTAGTGGACAGGGGAGGAGAGCAACTCTCTCTCTCTCTCACTCCCTCTCTCTTCTTCCTCCCCGCCTTATCAATTGCTCTTATTGTTCCTTGCTTTCCACTTACAATGCTCACAGCTGGATCGACTTCTTTATCAATTTTCTGTTGGCTGATTCAGTAAAAAGGCCATCGGAGGGGGAAACTTTGGGAGATTAAGTACGAAGCAGGCATTAGGCGATGACCGACACAGTTAGTAGGCAACGATAGCGGAGTCTGCGATAAACAACGGCCTCAATCAAACACCATCCGCCAGTTGTTTATTTATTTTGCCTTTTTCCCTCTATTTTAACAAGTCTGCCGACACAACCCTCGCGTACAGCTAAGAAAGAGATAAGAGGTGGGTGACCGAGAGGCCTTTAACCGCAGGGGTGGAAAGAGGCTCAATGGTTATATCTGCGGGAGGGGAGGGGGCGGGGCGAAGAAGAAGAAGAAGGGAATGTGGAAAAGGCAAAGACAGAGACTTAAAGCGGCAGCCAAAAGGAAAATGCAGCAGGAAGCCTGGGAGCAGGCAAAGGAGAAGGGGAAGGGGAAGTTAAACGAGGCCTGACCGATACTGGAGTGCAACGCAGCGGCTAGTCGAGAGGCAAGCACATGCGGGTTTCAGATGTCGACGTCGGGTGCAGCTCACTGGGTCGGATTTGGTTGACGGCCTTCCCCCACAGCCTGCTCGCTGGACCCACGACCGACGCTCGCCGTCGGCAGCCGTACTCTCGCTCGCTCGCACTAATTTAGGGTCAACCGGTAAATAGTGTCTCGAGGAAAGGTCGGGGAGGGCAAATACCGAGGTGTCGGTGCATCGCTTTTTGGTCGCTGCGGATTACCGGATCAGTCGCGTCCGTGTGACGAGTTGCTTTGCCCTTCGAGAGGCGGTTGAAAAGGGGTGAGATTTAGGTTTCACATAATTGACTGATGATAATGGAGGAGGTTGGTTTGACGTCGGTCTCCAGCGGACCGTTTCCATCATTGACGTCTCAACCAGCTCGCTCTTCACAGGGTGGGGGTTAGTGGAAACCGTGACGGTGAAATGGCGTCGGTGGGCGGCAGCAGTTAAAAGAGTCGATAAACAATAGCAGATCCATAAGCTTCGCTCACCGCCAGGTCAATGCAGCGGAGGCGGCAAGGCATCCGGAATCAGTAAATGAGTAGCCCTCAAGACCATAAAAGCGGAGGACACGTGAACGGAGTGGGCCCCTTCATTCCTCCTCTGTGGCGTTAAGGCAGGAGGGTTTGGTTGGGGCCCAGTGCCGACCCTCGGTTCGCTGGAGAAACAAAAGATTCTTGAACGGAGAGTTGGGGCGGGAGTGGGACGATTTGTGTGCAGCGTTTCTGCACGTGGCATGTGATTCTTCTGGTGCAGAACAGATTCTTGATTGATCATATCTCCGGTCGGTTTGCTTCGGTCCAAATGAGAAAGAGGTGGGCATTAATGCGAGACATCCCAAAGAGCTTTTGTTCTCGTGAGTTGGCGTGCCAGCGTCTTCCCAGCTTTGTCGACTCGGGCGCGTCCATCCAAACTCCTTATGGTCGGTCCGGTGAAGATGTGTCGGCTTCATTGATAACGCTGGAGATGATGAAGGTGGAGCGTTGCACGACAAGTATCAGTCCCCTCGTATGATAATGGTACACTGGGCTTGCATACTTGACGTTTAATCGGAGACAGCGACGGAGTCATGTAGATATACCACCTACTCCCAGAGACAAGCTGAGTTGGTGAGAGAGCTATGTCAGTAACAGTAGGTAAAACATTTTTCTACCCAAGTCTTTATTTGGTCTGGTAAAGATAAGTAATTTGATGAAGAAAATAAAAACAACTTTCATATCAATTATTATGATTGAGAACATATCTCAGGACATTTTACAATGACGGCTATCCATGTGTCATATTCTCCTTATCAGTTGATAAACATATCGATTCTTTAGATAGTTTTAAGAAATAAGAAATGAGCAGTAACATTTGCAACAGCCCATTGAATAATATGAGGATATAATTGTTCTTTCCAGTTCTTGAAGACTAGATTTTGAGTCATCAAAACAAATCTCAAACCCAACAGGTTTGACGGGAATCGTTGGGCTTTCTAATTTGGAGTAGAACTGATGTGGCTGAGCGGGCTTGGATCTCCGACGGTGTATCTTCAATCACAGCAACCGCGATTCCCTAAGGTTCGAAGACTCGTCGCCTCCCCTCACCCGCTCGGTCATTCTCCTCCGCCTCACTCGATCTCCACTGCTGCACCACCGTTCGATTGATCCTCGCCTTCCCACTCCATCTTCTTCGTGATCTTTCTCCGCCACCAATATTAATTGCCACCTTTCAATCCAAAACTCAAACTTCTCATCGGCTGTTGTCTGTCGTAGCGCTATTCCTATATTTGTAGCGTTCCAAGGACTTGTTGCTCGAATTTGCAACGTGGAAAGCCAAACAATTGGATCGATCGCTCGGCCAAGATACAAAGGAACTAATTGCACTTGGAGAACACTGGAATTCCAATCGAATGCCGCTCGTGTTTATGATGGGAAGCGGTGATCGAGTTTTATATCCTGATTTAGCATTTGACGTAAGGCTATGATTTACCATTTCAAATCGAGGACGTGGTAACACGAGGGGTGAAATGAGAGAAGGGAAGAAAGATGAATCGAACATTTGGTCTAATTCATGCTACCAATTTCATTATGAAGACTAGGCATGCTCTTTTTGTGCTATATGCAAAAGGCTGCCACGCAACGATAAAAAGAAAGAATATTACACCACACAAAAATCTTTATCGAGGTTGCTCGGTCACTCGGCATCCTCTTCGATCGTGCTCATTCGCTCCATGCCCCGCCGCCGCTGCCCCAACTTGGCCCGGTTCGAAGCACTACGCTTCGGCATCGTCTTCTTCTTCTCCAAAGACCTCGATCTATAATCATCACCGTTGTTCTCGAGCGCATCTAATCCTGCTAACTCCGCGGCGATGGGCATGACTTGAACCGTTCGCCGACCGTGATCTCTGTGCCTCGAAGCCAGCGGTTGGATCGCCATGCTGGCCTTCACCGCAAGAGCCGCCATGTCCGATCCCGAGAGCGGATACTCGAGCTTGGAGACAGGCAGCATGAAGTAGAGCTGGCCCAACTGCAGCGACTCTTTGGAGCCGAGCGCCGGGATGTAGGTGTTGCAGTAGAGCTCGTCGGAGCTGCAGATGAAGCAAGAAGGATGGTGGCGACCGAGGACCTCGTACACCTTCACCTCGGTCGAGAACTCGCTCAGGGAGCCGTCCAGGGTGATGACTTTGGCCGTCACTGGAGAGGGCGTTTCAGCGGTGGAGGCGAAGGCGAAGGAGAAGCAGGATCCCATGTAGCGATGGATAGCAGATTTGTTGACAGTACCGAGACCGAAGACGATAAGGTAATTTATAAGAGAGAAGGGTTGACGTTGAGAGGGAAGGGTGACGTGCGCGAGGTCGTCACCGGAAGTATCCGAGGTCGCTTTTGTGTCACGGCTGACGAACGGCTCCTGCGTGCATCAAAAGCAAGCACAGTCGGGCCAAGTAATTGGGGATTGGGTCAATCTGCTCCGATTAAACGTGTGGTCCAACGCCGTTCAACTCAACCACATACCGGCGGGCGGAGTCGCTAGATTTGACCAGGAGCGCAGTTGCCTTGGGCACCAAACAATACCAACCGTCTCGGAGGCAGAAAAGTCCACCGACGTGTGCGTTTGGTTTGGGGGTCAACGTAGCATCTGGAGCAATCATGCAGGATCCTGATGTGAACCAAATATAGGATTATAGGGTGCGTTCGGGTCTACCGGATTAAAGTTCTTATCGTCCTACACATTATGATCCCAATCTGGCGTGTGTGCCAGTAGTTGTCACATCTGGCTCACATGTTTTGGAAATCAACAAGATAAACAAAGGCATACGGATCATCACCTGTCCTATCATCAGCACAGGAGCTAAAAAAGGGTCTGCACATGAAGCCGTCCGCAACAGCAGATCGACCGTGCGACTGCGCCCAAATTATACGATATGCAGAGCCAATGACACGTACATACCCCCGTACCCAATCCTTTTCGTCTGCTCTAAAGGACACGTGTAGGCGTATGCAGGGGCGTCTGTCCCAAATTTATGGCGCAGGGCACGCATCAGCTACACGTACTTGGCTGAGCCGCCTTCGTGTCGGGAAGACAGTGATGGTTTCTCCGCCGTCTGGGATGACCTGATAAATTAGCAGTCTGTTGCATGACGTCATGTTAGGCCTAATTTTCCTTCTTCCGCAGGTTCCTGAAAGCAAGATGAGATATCTGCTTTGGGATGGATAGCTTTGACACATCTACTTTGACTATCTCCCATGAGGGGAGATGAGATGGGGAGATGAGATGGGTTGAGAACATACACTTGTCGAGGTGGAAACTTCCAAAATGAGAGGCAACCTTTTTGTGTTGGATTTTCCGACTACCACTTCAATCCACAAGAAGTTGCTCGGCATCAACAGGAATAAGACTAACCCCACCGCAACGCGTCATCGCTCATGTAACACGCCGTGATACTCCACACGTCCGGTGGCTGGGGGATTATTTTTGAGAGGATGCGAGGTGCACGACGCTATGAGACGAGCGGGGAAAGAGATGGAAAATGACGGGCGGCCAAGGCCGGAGACTTCTCAGGAGGATTCCTCACGGCTCTCTTGTGGGCCGGAGACAAACACAAGACTTGAGCCGCTCCACCCCGCCTTGGCGTGTTTGTCAAGTCACCACTTTGATGTATGCGTTTGACACCTCAAGATGCTTCATGCCACCATCCTTCTCTTCTCTCTCTCTCCATCATCCGGCGTACAAACCCACCAATTCACATCCCCGTGCCCAGCGTTCCCTGACTCAGCACATCAATTTAGTATTTACTCAGGCTCACCTCGCAGCTTCCACAAACACGCACACACACTCTCTCTCTAGTCAACGTATTTTTGCCATCCTGGGGTAGCCCTTCCCGAGCGTGCAACGGTAACCGAACATGGCAACTCTCCAAAGCCTTTTTTTGTCCCCTTGACATTGCAGTCGAACATCATCACCACAAGCACTAGTTTGATGCATCTTAAACACCTTCCTCCCTGCAATTACTAATGTTCTCCGAAATAGCCAATGTGGAAGAAGATAAATCAGTGGACCTCACCCATCTAGTGCTCACCACGAGGAAACCGACCATGGCTACCTCGATAACAACTAAACAAATACAATGAATCATCACAGAATTGAGATATGCTACGGTGGGATACATGAGAGGTGGCATACATGTACACTTAGAACCATGCACGACGACAAGAAGCATATCAAGATCTGGAGGCACCCCTTTTCCCATCCCCTAACCGTACTTACAAAGGACATGGTGCCAACGGTTAAGACACCGGTAAAAGAAGGCGTATCATCTACTAAAAGGAAGAGGAAGAGGGAAAAGCTACACAATCCTCCTCGAACGCTCAGATCTTAGGAAATGAGAGGAGAGAGAGAGCACTGCATTCTAATATTATGTACAACTGACCACTGGTCTCTTTGACCGTATACCACAATCACTACAAGTACCGTATCCACTACTTTTTACAGACATGGTGAGCTAATTAAGCTGCTTTCGAAATCTTCCTGCATCATACTGGCTTCTTAATTATGAGATATATTTTACTCGTCATCGACCGGTCCTCTCAGAAGGGAGCTCGGTGGGGTGTACCCTTTCGCTTGGATGTCCGGTAGCTGACGATGGGAGGCGTTCCGGGTGAAATGCTGCGGCTGGTGGCGGTTGCGTCGTCTTCCAAATGCGAGATAGGCACTTCGATCCTGCGGCTAAAGGCCGATGACGTCTTCCGGAGCTTTCTGGGGGACGACGAAGTGTCCGACTCCAAACCGTAGAGCGAGTCACGGCCTGGTTTCGGGCGGAGATTGAAGGTGAGCGCCGGGTCCGTCTCCATGCCTCCAAGCTGCGAGGAGAGACAAGAATAGTCAACAGGATTGTAAATGGGGAACCTACTGTCGAGGAATCCATTATATATAGGTGGTTTGTTGTTCAATTAGTTCGACCGCGCATCGCAAAATGTTAAGTACAAGTTAATTTGAACATCTACATCCCATCCCATTTCATTTGCTATGTTGGTGGAGACAAATGCAGAAGGAAACAAGAAGAAGAAATGCTCAGAGGAGGAGGAAAAGCTTCCGTCGTAGAGAAGTAAAGGTTGCTTGTCTTCTATAAATGCGTGTGTATGTATATGCAGATCAACGTCCGTCAATAATATGCACTGGGGGAAGAGGGATTGATGAAGCACGCTGCACCTTGCATCCCAGGGAGCAGAACCGGAAGGAATCCAGGAGGCTTCGGCAGCAAATCTCACATGTGTTGGTCACGCCTTTTCCGGGCCTCGGCTGCGGCCTCCCGTTGAGGAAGACGATCTTGGCGCTGTTTATAACGTAGGTTTGAACGCAGGAGATGTCTATAAACTTGGCAACCTCCGACACCCTGATCACGTTGTGATACGATGATCTCCTAATCTGAACCGGCAGAATCAGAATTTCCAAACAGTAAGAATCAAAACGAACGAAGTTTGGTTTGCGGATCGATTCATCAGGCTGGCAAACAGGACAAAAGTAATGACCTGAACGACACGGTGATCCTTGTGAAGGGAGAGGCAATAGGAGCAGAGTGATTCTTCCATGCAATCCAAACAGTACATGTTGCACTCGCTCTTGCTGGAGTCTACATGGATCTTACAGGGAACGAAGAAGACCGTTCTCAGGAGCGGCTTCAGCCATGACGGGCCACCAGCATCCTCGTCCCCCGACTGGACCATCGGACCCACCTAAGCAACCAAAGAAAGGAAAAATCCCCATGCATCGATTAAGCCCCGATCCCCGGAAGCACCAACGGCAACCAAAGTAGCCAAAAACCGAAGACAAGCGAAAAAGAAACGGGAAGGCGGCGCCTTTACCATCACCTTCTTCTGCTTGCTCCTCGCAAATCCGACCCTGTGCTTGTTCTCGATAGCCAGCTCGTCCAGATACGAAGTAAACCGGAATAAGCAAGAGACCAAACCACAATCACAAATCCAAGCACAAATCAAGGATTGTATCGGCGAGATGAGGACCACTTAGCATCAAAAGCAACCGTCCGGAATAGAATCGTCGAGAAAGCCGCCGGGAGCAGAAGGGGGAGAAGAGATGAGCAGGAGGAGAAACAGAGCAGAAGGGACATGAGAAAGAGGGGTAAACGGTGGCGATGGAAGTCTCGAAGACGAGCGGAGGAAATGCCAAAATGGTAATCATATGTAAATAGAGATAGACATATATGGCGGTTCGCTAAGTAGGCGATTATTGTATGCACGGAGGGCGTCGATTTATGGCGACTAGTTGTGGTAGATCAGAAGCCATCGAATCGGCTAACTAATTAAATGGCAGCATGACACAGCGGATGGTGATAATTGCGTACCATTAAGGCTGGTGTTATGACGAAGGGACTTTGTAATAGTTGAATTTATTACAGGAGGGATGAGAGGGCCGTCCTACGGTGCATCGTGTCAAATCCGTAGCTCTTAGCAAACATATGGTATTTGTTTTCTTAGATTTAAGTTTATTATTATTATTATTATTATATATATATATATATATATCTTTGTAAATCTATAATTTTATATCTCTAAATTTGTTTTTTTATCCACTTATTTGAATTGAATTTAAGGCATAAATCAAGAGTCAAATGACTAAAAAAAATTAATAATAAATATTTTTATTGATATGAAAAGTATGATATGTAGTTAGTTTGATGACACATCATCTTCACCCGATAGACTTATAAGTTGGCCCTATCCTTTCCTCTTCCGAGCGTGACATGTGATGTTGATGAGGGTAATGATTCGACATAAACATATCAGTCCATTCGATTGAGATGATAATTGATAACTCTCAATATTGAAATAAATTATTGTCTAATGATTATAACACTGATAATTCGATCAGAATTGTCTTAATATGCTAAAAAAAATTTAGGTGTATTGAGTGAATGATTAATTTTTTTATTATGTTTTTGAATCTTTTAAATATCATAATAAATTAAATATCGTGAGATTTTTATATGATATATTCCTAATATAATTTTATAAGTAGAATCCTCAAACTATAACACATTTATGACCGGTGACAATTGGCCCTGAACCTCTTTCATGTATTAAACAACTAGAATCTACCTAAATGGTATGTAAGTGTGATTAGTAATATGATTAGCTTAAGTTTATGAGTATCAATAATTAGCTTACGCATTTATCTTTTTAATCCCTCAAAAAAACTCGTCTATTAATATACACACAATACTAACATCATAAGTTGAAAAGTTTGTACTAAAATATAATATAGGGGAGACATGGGTTCACTATGCACAATTATTATAAGGGTGCAAACCTCTCGCTTTAACCCAACAAAGACAACGATGGTGGCGGCGATGAGGATTGTTGTGGATTTTGATCGAACCATATAATGCATCTATGACAACAATTGACAATACAAATTGTCATCGTCAATCATGGGACGATGAACCGCTCATCCATCCCCCAAACTTATCCATTAGGAAGCCGAATTCAGAAATAATATTTGCATAAAGGTCACATAATTGATGGAGGTTGCAAATACACAGTCTCCCCATATGGATACGCCCAGCGGATGCAAGCAAGTACTTGTAAACCAAGCTAAAGCGACCTTAATCGTTTCCTAATTCTCCTCAGGAAGGGCGGATGGTGGCAGATTTATTAGTTAATCGACCAAGTTGAGTCAATCAAGCAATAGTCGCCGATGCTTCAAGAAAATAGGGAAGTGCGAACCGTATCACTAACTCTTCGTGCAAGGAAAAAAAGAAGACGATGGAAGTGTACAGAAAAATTCCTCCAACTTCACAGTGGTTGGATGGATTCGATGGTACACCAGACCAGACTGCAATCATCGACGCTAATGCTTGGAAGCTTCACTTTGACTTGGCGCGTGATTCGGAGGTGTTCAATCTTTTTTTTGTTGGTTGACTCTCGAGATGACACCATGCACGGTGCTACTTTTCCGATGCTATTTCTTGTCTCCCAAGGATTCAAATACGCAAGTTGATCGACCATCGCCCCCTCCCACCTCGTCTGACTTGTACGCCATCGGCTAAATATTCAACATCAGAAGTTTCTTTTCTTGATCATTCATTTTGCTATGCATAAGAGCTGTATAATTCCAAGATTGCTACTCGTAATCCTTTGTGACACTGTTGGTGTATGTATTGCTCTCAACATTTTATGGGAGGCGTGCTAATCCTCTCCTACGCTTCCTTCTCCTTTTTGTTATTCCCATTAAAAAAAAAAGTACATATAAGGTAAAAATATGATCGACACATCGACCCTCACGGTTTATGGATGGTTGACATCTCAAGGCCACATGACCAATGCGTGATTGATAGATTGGCGTCTTGCGGCTTACGCATGATCGACACCTTAGAGTGATCAGTACGTGATCGACTTCTCAACATGAGGTTGAATTAATTATATCATAGATTCGAAGTGATGTAATTGTAATTAAGCCCGAGCGAAATGCACAACCGTTATCAATAATTGATATCGATCATGAGAGTAACCGTCATAAAAATCCATTACAAAAGAGTTCTCTAGGTATGTTCTATGACACTTGTCACAATATTGCTAAATATATTGGTTGAGTCTTCCAACACAAAACTAACTTAAACATCAAAGGAATACCGTCGAGAACACAACTAATTCAATTTTGTCATCTCCAAAGTCGATCGAATGGACTTAGAGACCAACCAAATACAAAAAAGGATATCAATTGATTTCGAATCAACATTCACTTGGAACAACTAATTTCTCACTTAAGTAAAAAATAATATCTCACATACTTTTTTCTTGCAATAAAAAAGGCTTTTTATTAGAAACATCATATATTCGATGATTAAAAGAAACTTGGTCGACAAGGCAGATGTGACAGTCCAAAATTCCACCCGCTAGCATGGACTTTTGCAGGATGTTTTAATCATCGTTCTATGCTAGTTTTTGACGATCATTCCCTTGTTTCTCCAACCACATATCTCAATCACTAAGATACATCGTGCACACATTCTTTTAAGACCCATTATAAGGACCAAAGAATTTTTGCTACGCTTATGGAGGCCCACGATATCCGCCCGGCCCAAAAAAAAGGGGTGCCATCGGAACCTCTTAGATCAGCATGCAGATGCTTCGATCACATACCGATCGGTCGACGGTCCCATGGTCCATCCATCCCTCGTAATTATTGAGCCCACTTCATACACATGACACCGAACCAGGAAAAGGAAGACGAATAATTCTTTGCCATCATAGCTACGTGCATAGCTTTTGTGGCGCTGTGATAGACAAAGGTCTCCGCGATTCATTCATCGGTCCAAAGTGGTCAAATAAAATAACCTTTTTTATAATAAATGGGACATGAGGAGGAGAACAATAATAACTAAAAAGGAGCGTCTATGTATACAACAACTTACAGCGAGGGAAGAGCTCCTCTCCTTTACCTTCTCTCCCCTTACCATGGGACCGATGCCGCGGCAGAGGCTTAAAGAAGATGGTTATTACCACGCCGGAATGGTCCCTATGGTTTGCTTCTCGAAGCGCCTGATGGTGTCGGCGACACGCTTCATGTTGTCATCGTAAACGTATGGGATCTTCTCAAACCATGTCACGTTGCCTGCCGCCGGTAGCGGCACAAATTCCCGGCATGGCTCGCCCAACACATTGATGGAGTTGTGGTAGTGGTAGTATCGGATCATGTCCTCCGTCTTGTGGGTGGTCTTGCCGATGACGTTCTCCGACATGTGGACGCCCGTGGCATACGCGTTCTTGGCCTGGATGGCGTATTTGCGGTCTCTCCTTACTCCGGTGATGGAGTTGCGGAACACCAGCTTCTCGAACCCCCATTCCCTGCATACCCACAGTAACGGAGACTGAGATGGGAAGAACCAGATTTGCACATCAAAACCCTTATGCCGCTGCGAAATGTTACCGATTGTTTCGATCCAATTCGAAATGGGAAGAGAGATCAAACTCACTTGGAGTAGTCTTTCTTGGGGTCCTGCACGCACAGCTTGCTGGACATGGGATTCTGCTCGATGGTGAATTGGGTGTAGTCGGAGAGGTTACGCAGCACGGACTCGAGCGTCCGCCCCTGGGGCAGGTATATGTACTCGTCCACGTCGAAGAAGAAGGTCCAATTGGCCGCATGCCGGTACCTGTGCAAGCAATCGTTCACCACCAGGAACTGGTTGTAGTAGTAACCATCGTACTCCGCTTGCGCCTGGATGTCCTGCAAGGTGGCGCGCCCCGCCCTCACCCATGGATCGAGCACCGCTCGCACCTCCGGGCCGATGCCCCCGGCGTCGTGGAAGACGAAATGGGAGCTGGGGCCGAAGAAGTGGGCGTGGTAGGCCATCCACTCCCTGATCCGGCTCGCGCTCAGGTTGCCGTAGAGAGAGGAGCCGCAGTACAGGTACTCGTACTTGAACGGTGGCCGGAAGCGGGACTCGTCGTAGGAGCCCGGGGACTCCTCCAGAGCCACGAACTTTTCGTACCTCCGGGACTTGGTGGAGTAGTAGGCGTGGAGGAGGAGCTTGCCGCCGGCGTTGTCCGTGTTGGGGTTGAAAGGGAAGGAGCAGTTGACGACGACGACAGTGTAGACGCGGCCGTAGCCCCAGTCCGGCAGCATCTTGTAGGCTTTGGCGCGGACTGGCTGTGGCTGGGAGGTGGCGTTGGGGGCGGCGGACGGGTTGGGGTCGGGAACCCACTCGCATTTGTACCAGGGTCTACCGTAGACGTGGGTGGGCTTGGAGGCCAGCCCGACGACGGCGAAGGTGGCCGGGCCGCCGCGGTAGGCGCCCATCAGGACGAAGAGGGCGGCGGCGCTGCCGTAGGCCTGGAAGACCCGTTTGTTGCGGTCCAAAGCGGGGGTTCTCATCTTGGCGGTGGGAACCGAAAGATTGGAGCTTGGAAGTGGCTTCAGGGCGGTGGAGTTGAAGGCGGAATCAGGGGTGAGAGAGAGCCCCGATTTCCGGACGCTGGTGACAGTGTTGGAAGTGGCGGTGGCGAGAGGGCAGGAGGAGCGGGAGGTGAAGAGGGACTCGTAGGGTTGCAGCTGCCACATGGCCATGACGAGGGTGAGGACTACAAGGGTGGCTACGAAGGCCTTCACGTCAAAACAGGGGAGGAGCGGAATGGGAGGGGACGCTCCATTACCTCCTCCTCCCTCTTTCCTCGGGTTGGCTTTCATCCTTTGCTCGATCGGATTTGTTGCTTCTTGCCTCCTCTACACTGTGTTCCTCAGGATTGATCTTGAAGGCGAAGCTTCTGCTTTCCCAATCTCTCTCCCCCTTATTTCCTTTCTACTGCAGAAAGCAGCGGTGGAAATTGTGGTACTTAAAAAAGAACAAGAAAAGAATCCCCCGACAATACTTGAGAGAGAGAGAGAGAGAGAGAGAGGAGAGCAGTCGGCTGCGGTGGGAAGCCATAGACGCGACAACTCTCACGCTGAGCTCTTTTTAACCTGATCAAGTACTGTGTCTGGAGACGAGCCGTTTTTACTTCCCTGTCTTTAGCATGCATCTGCGATCACATTTGGTCGTCTCAGCCGTCATCATTGTATCGACGACGGTATTGCTCCAAACATACAGCATTGAACTATGAGATTATGAAGGAATAGTGCAATAAGCTTCAACTCAATATTTTGAGATCAGGTCATTAATAGTTGATACATCATACGGCAACATCAATCACGAATTCCCACATTATGTCACCATCCTCAAGATTCTCCTTCTAATAATTACCACTTAAATTTATTGTGTTAGTGCTTCATATCTATAATGACACATCGGTAGATTCTGTAAACGCAGCACGATCACAGAGCTGTGACGGATTCCACATCACAGCATTATCTGTTAATTAAAGGAAGACATAGGATTCTGTCTTTAATTGCTTTGGCACTTCGTTTTCTGTAGCTATCATCTGCAAAGGGCTACTTTATATTACTGGTGAAGCTACGTTCCATTGCCCTTTCGATCAGTGCACTAAAAAGCTATTATTATCTTTTGACTAAGGCAAGCATGATGTCTATTATAGTTCACTCCTATTGCTATGTCACTCGGTGTAGTTTGTCCAGGCGACTTCATGTCATAATAAAGAGTAGTAGGTAGTAAGGGCGTACACGTAAGACAGCTCACACTCGTATAAGCTGTTTTAACTGCAACCATACTTGCTTTTATCTGTGGTCACGAAGAAGGTTCCCGTACCTTCTAGGTAGATCTTATTATATCTCCGTATTATTATTGATTGGGTTTGTTCTGTAAATATTCTTTCGAATCTCAAGTTAACGAGGTTAGTATGAAAGAAAAAAATAAGAGAAAAAAAATATTGATGACGGGCTCTCTTTTATAGTCATCGATATTTGTTGTTACAAAAAATATTTCCTAAATTAAAATATATAATCGTTTTCTATATTGATTTGACTTGACATGATCAATTTAATCATTTTATTTTGTCTTTTCGATAGCATCTATGCATCGAGGGTCGACCGGGCACCAATATTACTCCTATCAATTTTGTATGCAATTTAGAGCTTAATTAGATGTCCAAGGCAAAAACAAAGTAGCGTCAACGTTATATGCAATTAATGTACTCGACGTAGCGATGTGGCTAAATGTTATTATCAAGCACATGGATTTTGTTCTTTAAGAAAGAAGGGAACAATTAACTCATGCTCGATGACAACACAAATGAATGATTGTATTACGGGGGCTCAAATGCATCACATGTCGGAGACTTCTTCGCACTACGTTTTGCTCCTCTGTGCCGTCGACGACGAGCTTAAATGCTAATTAGGCTGGTAAGGATCGGGTCATTAATGTGAGAAATGGGCAATAAATTACGACTCGAGGAAGAGGAAGAAGATGAGACGTTGCTGTATGGTAGGGATCGTGATACGGTGCGAAGAACAGCCAGCGGCATGCCCGTTAGTTGCGAGGTAACATTGAGGACATGGGAAGCAGGACGAATTGGAAGGGCATGAACTCGAAAGCTCCCTCCTTCCTGCCGTCCTGTAGATCGAGCGATGCGTGTGTGCCTCGGAGATGCCGTTGCTTGCGTCGTCACTACCACCACAGCTTCCGAAAGCCTGACTGCGACAGTGAAACGATGGCGGGCCGGAATCGGGTAGGTGACATGTTGATGTCATGCGCCGGGGACCGGCGGACCCACCGCCCTCGCCATGGCATGCCGGAGTGGCACCCACTGCCATCCCTCCGTGAAGCGAGCGAGTGAATAGGCCAATCAGTGCAGCAGACTGAGCGATGACAGACCACAAAGAAGAAAAGGTCGGCCCATTGTCCTCTAGATTTGTTGTTAGTGGAGGGTTAATTGTATTGCTTGTTCGCGTCCAAATCCAGCGGAGACGATGAGCTGTGTGGATTTTGGTACGGGAGGAGGGCGTTGGGGGGACACTTTCCCCGTTGCCGTTGCCCGAATGGCGAAAGATGTTTTGGTGGGTGGGGTGTGAGAGAGAATGAGAAGAGATAAAATCCAAAGCTATGAACTGCATTTGATTCCGATTAAGCAGTTTGTGGTACTGCCACGATCTTTAATGCGGTACGCATTCCGATGACAAACGAACGGCCACCTGCAATTAATGTGTCAATCGTGAACTTGCCCGATGTGCATCACGATTAGGCAATTCATTCTCGATTCTGTTCATTTGATGCATCTTATCAACGTCACTCACCGGATTATCCTTCGCAGGATAAACAGTACCATCTGCTTAATAACAATATATAATCGAAAGTATCATCTGATCTTAATGAGAATTTATTATAATCTTGATAAGACATATTTTGGATCTCGATCACATCGTGACCCACGCCACGTCATACCCATGCAGATTTAGTACAAGGGCTACCTTCCTCTCATGTCGAGTCGAAGCCCGTGCAGGAAGGCGTACTCTCAGTAAGTCCCGTCTCGAAAAGTTTGAGACGATACCGCATGACACTGATCCACGCATACCGAGCGATGGTCGTATGAAGGTATGAACTCGCCACTTAAGAGGATCAGCCACCACGCTAAAGTAGCGTACGATCGATCCTTGGACAATAGTATAAAAGACCATAACTAACATTTGGCCGGGGGATAAAAGAAAGGAGGAAAAACCATTGACTTAATCTACGAGAGGCCCGAGTAGGAAATCCCTCGACCAGGGCCAGTTTGCAGGAACGCAGCCACCCCCGAACTAGCTCGATCCTTTGTTGGAGACGCGACCACCCCCGAACCAGCTTGATCCCTCGTTGGAGACGCGACCATCTTGACCCCCGGACGAGCTTGGCCTCAACGCTTCTTCCAATCGACCGAGAGATGCACCCTCGGACGTCGAGAACTCCGGACATCGACCTATGAACCAAGCCGTGCTGACTCCTCGACTACGGCGAGTGAGTTCACCAACAAATCTTAATATTTGATAATATATATAAGTTCATAATATTTGATTTTATTTCTTTCTCTGTTTTATTTTTTTGGGGGATAAAAGAGCACAACATTTGGCATCGATTATTGTTAGAACCTAATAAATACATTGAATAATTCCTTAACAATTTAAACTTTTGAGATCATTGATGATCAGATCACAGTTATAAGTTTAAATTCTGTATCTATTCCTTCTTAACATAGATTGGTTATTTGGGCGGCTTTTGGAGTATGATTACACTGTTTGGGATCCTATCCCAACGATTGGACATGAGTTAAATGGGAAATATAATTCAGAAATAGCTGCTGTCGGTGACACTTCCACCTCTGCCCGTCTTCTCTTTTGCATGAGGCTCAAAAGCAGCTTTGGAGAGAAATAGGAACCCGCCTAATGTGTGTGCCGCCGGTGCGTCGATACTCTGAGCGGGCACGCGTTTGCTTATAAGCACAACTCCAAAGTTCGATTCTGTGGGTCGTGTAGTGCACATCCTCTCGTCTCCTTTCTGTTTTATTGCATCGAGGAGGAGGAAGAGCGGTATGGGTTAATATTTAAAATATTATTTTTTTTAAAAAAAATATTTTAAATTTTATTTTAAAATAAATTAATTAGATAAAATTATAGAGACAAAGATTTCTTGAATTTTGATTATTATTTTATATTTATAAATCAATGATATCTATATTTGTAGATCTATCCAAGTCTAAATGTTTAGATCTACAATAATAAAATTCAAGAGTAATTCAAGACTCTGTAATTATTTTTAAAAATCAATATAATTTTTTTCTTTCATTTTGATTTTTGTCAGAATCGACCTAGTTGATAAGATAAGTGTAAATGATGATACATCAATCTGGCATATAATTTTTTTTAATTAAATATTATGATATAAAAAAGTTTAGTTAATTATTTTCTCAATCTTACTACTTTTAGTAATAATGAAGTTCATGAAGATTGTGAATATGATAAAGCATATAAGTCACTTTTTGATAGATCACTTTCAAAATGTAAATTTTTCTTAAACTTATTCACATGATCTACTAGCCCTACTCAAACCTTATCTTATTTATGTTCTCGTTATATGTTTCTTCTTGTTGATGATTTTATAACATTCATTTCAGTTTATTTCATGAAGAAAAAAAAATCAAAAGTTTTTTTAAAACTTCAAGAGTTCAAATTAACAATTGAAAGTGTTTTTGAATATTAAAAGATTATACATTGATAGTAGTGAAGAGTTCACTTCTAATATATTCTTTTCCTTTTGCAAAGAACATGATATAAAAAAAAAACTTATATGTGCAAATATATCACAACAAAATAATATGATAGAATGGAAGATTCCACATCTAATGGAGATTTTAAGTATTGGCTTCATACAAAGAATTTACCCAAAATCTTGTAGGCCGAAGGTATGACATGTTTAACTTTTATTATTAATCGAAATTCTCTTAGTCCAATTGAAGTTTCCATATGAGTTTATATGTAATGAGAAACTAAATGTTAAACATTATCGAGTATTTGGTTCTACATATTCATATACAAAACTCAAAAAGAAGTAATCTTGATGCTAATGTCAAGAAATACATCTTTATTGACTATAATGAAAGGAAAAAATATTAATAGTGATATATGTTCAAAACAGTTTTTTTTATCATCTAGTACTCATATGAATTTTGGTTCATTTTCTTCCTTATTTATATCTACTTTTATTTTTTTTTATCACCAATGGTGGACCAAAGTGATAGGAAAAAATAATGATATTTTAAAAAAATTATAATATTGAGAAGATAAAGATGAATAATTATTAAACCATTACAAAGATAAAGACAATGTAAGCATATGTCAGTATATTTTTTTTAAAACCAATTGATGATCTTGAGCTTGCTTGTTTTGATAGAGCCAAAGGTGCTAGGGAGTGAATGTTATGGATGAAGTAATAAAAACTTTTTACAAAAATATATAGATCTTATGTTAAAGCATGTAAA